AAATCAATGTGGGAGGGGAAGACCCTCAGAATTTCTGGCCAAAACCGAAACAGTTGCTATTTACACTCACTCTGAGATAAAAGAACAGATGATGTTTACAGAGAGGTTGAGCACTTTGTCCATGCCACTAAGTGTGAGAAAAAGAATGCAAACCTAATCTTCCTTCTCCAAATCAAGCATGGTATCCACTATACTGTTTTATATTTGTCTTTATGTTTGTATATATCTATGTAACGTTCTTTATCTAGCTGCATGTGAAACTAAGATGAAAAATAAAGGGAGAGGGTAACTGGATCCTCTTCCAGTGCCTATCCTAAGAATTTGGAAAAGTTACTCTTTCCTAATCCCTCCCCTTTCTCCTCCATCTGGGCTGGACATCGTCCCCAGTCATCACCCTGGTTCCACTGAGCAGATATGCAGAGAAAACAATGGGAAGGATGGCAAAGTTCAATTACGCACTCCTCCCCCCCCCCCCCCCCCCCCCCCCCCCCCCCGCCCAGATTGTAATGCAAAGCAGTTCCCTTTAGCTTGCTTTTGGGAAGCTTACCCAAAACCAATAAGTCAAGGCCATAAGATTCTCTCTCATATTGAGGAGCCCCTAGCTAGGAGAAAAACCACCACCACCACCATCCCAGTTTTAACTTGATGGGTTAGACTTTGGTGCCTCTCTACCAACCTCAGTTACTATCTTAACGTCTCTCATTGCTATTGAATAAGGACATATACCATTCCAAAGCAAATCTTATTATTATTTTGAGAAAGCAGGCTTTAAAGTAATATTTAAATCAGCAAAAAAGTCAACCTAGAAGAACATAAAACTCTGGATTTAAACATCTGTTCTTTTGGATGGAAAGGGAGGAGGGAAGGGGGAAGGAGGACTTGACATTTCACTAGCCACTTGAATTCTTGACCAGGAGAAATTTCCCTAATAATCAGACACACCTCGTGTGCTCCCCAGTGGACAAAGGTGGACTTTGGGGGCTCTAAACACAGCTCCATTGCTCTCCTCCCTGCCCTCTTCCCTTCCCTTCCCCATTTCTTCCTTTCTGTTTCCTTGATCCTACATTTTCCATATATTCAGGCAGCCAGGACCTGGTCTTCAGAGGACCCGGTCTTAGAGCCTGCTACATTTCTACAAAGTGTTCCAAAATCTCAGTGCAGTGTTGACTTTAGTAATCTTTATAGTTTAGAACTGTATCAGGACTTTTGCTTTTTCCTTTTTTTTTTTTTTTTAAGGCAATTGGGGTTAAGTGACTTGCCGAGGGTCACACAGCTAGTAAGTGTCAAGTATTTGGTCTGAGGTCATATTTGAACTCAGGTCCTCCTAACTTCAGGGCCAGTGATCTATCCACTGTGCCACCTAGCTGCCCCAGGACTTTTGAAACCCTCTGTATCTGTGCCTATTATCTCTCCTTTTAAAAACAGGCTAGTGGGGAAAGTAGGTGGTAGAGTAAGAGTACAGGCCCTGGAGTCAGGAGGACTGGAGTTAAAATTTGGCCTCAGAATCTTACTAGTTGTGTGACCCAGGGCAAGTCACTTAATCTTGATTGTCTCAAACAAAAAAGATAGGAAAAAATCCCCCACCCATAGCCTCCATGAAGGTACAGGCTAATTGACTTTTGCCTATGTGTCCATCCCCAGCACCTAGCGCAGGGCCTGGGACAGAATAAGTACTTAATAAATGTTTACTGGTTGATGAGAGGTTGAGTACTAGAAGGGACTTTAGAGGCATCAAATCCAGCACCTTCATTTTACAGATGAGGAAACTGAGGCCCAGAGATGTTCCATGACTTGCTCAAGATCCCACAGATAAGAAAACAACTGAGGCAGGATTTGAATCCAAGGTTCTTTCTACTGTGCCATGCTGTGTTGTTCTATTCTTTCTAATTCTCAATTATCTCCAGCTTCTCCTGGCCTTTCTTTTCACTCCCCAAGTTCACTATATCCCAGTTACATCGTTCTTCCTTTGCTTCTGCCCTATTTCTAGTGCATTTCCCCCGTCACCAGAGAAAGCACTCAAGTCATATAAGACATTAAGTACCTTCAGTTTTTCTCCCCTCGTGAGACTGAATCAAAATCACCATTTTCTTTATTTTTCCTTTTTCCAAGAATTAAATCCAGGAACAGGAGTACCAAAAACTACCTCGGTTTTGCACAGAATTTTAAAAGTTTGGCACTTTCCCTTCATTAAATTAGAAAGGGCCTTACCTGCCTCTAGGGCAATCTTGCAGAAGTTCCTAATTTTTTACCTAGGGTGCTAGTTCAAATTGACTGGCAAGGTAACATGACTGGCTGGTTAACTCATGGCCAATGGCCCATACCTTAGTACCAGCCTTGCAGGTGGACTGGGAAGGCTCTGAGGCCATTTGCTTCATGGACAAGATCTTTGCTATCCGTGAGTGCTTCCTAATCAGCTACAAAACCCTCTATTGGACCCACTGGGAAAGGACAGAAGCCAACAGTGCTCAGGAAAATTGATGTCAAGATAAAACAAAGAATTGGAGAACTGGGAGCAGAATTAAGCTGTCAGCTGTTTTTAAAGAGTCTGATTTTTAAAATTTTTTCTCCTCCCCCTTGCCTTAATAAAAATATTAAGGACAGAAGTAGACTAAGCAGTTCAGGCTTCCTACAGGCCCTGTTACAAAGTCCTTTTAGTATTCTTGTTTTTGTCTCAAGTTTTTTTTTTTTGAGCTGATGGTCTTTAAAATAATTTGTTAATGTTATAAGGATGAAGACATTATGCCCATGCTATCCCATTTTTATTTTGGTATTTCCCTTCCCCTTCAGGAGTGGTGAGGCAGGGATAGAAAACTGAAACAAAGACCAATATAACAGATTGGTTTTACTTTATCCTTTTTTTTTTTTGGCTTGGCATTTGCTTGTTTATCATTAAACTGGACTAAATATTTACCCAGTGCTTGAGAGAGGCAGCTAAAAATCGCTGACCAGTCTGGCTCCTAAGGAGGAAGACCTCATTAGGCTCAGAAATAGGCTTGCACACTCAGCACTTTATGCAACAGAAGGACAAATGGATTTAAAGCAAAGCAAAATGGGGGGGTGGCATTTTCTGTGTCCCTGCTGCTATCCATGCTACCCTCTACTCCCCTACAAAATAAAGATTTTCCTGGAAATTCTTTAAGTTCAGACACAGTTTAGTGTGCTCCAGAGAGCTTTTAGGGAATGCATTTTGTCAGTCCTTTAATCCCAGGTTCCTCACTGGTATGAGGATTTAGCAAGTGGGCTACTGTGGAAAGAATACTCGACCTGCAATCAGAGGACCTGGGTTCAAATTCTGACTCTGCCAAAGCTGTGTTGGGCTCCCCCAGGCCATCTGTAAAATGAGGATGTTGGACTAGATGTAACTAAGATTGCTTCCACCTCTAAATCTACCATCCTTTAATCTATTTGTTCCATTTACAGGCAACTATGATTAAAAGATGATGCTTCACCAGGTGGTAGAGGTGACCCTGAGTTCTTGTAAGGCTTACCAAGAGCAAACTCTGATAGGCATATCAGTGGATAGAGCACTGGGCCTGGAGTCAGGAAGATGTGAGTTCAAATTTAGCCTGACATTAACTGTGTGACCTGGAGCAAGTCACTTAATGTGTTTATCTCAGTTTCTACAACTGTAAAAACATCTCCCAGGGAGAGGAGATACAAGATTTTTGTTAAGCTCTTAGATGTTATATAAATGCTAGCTATTATCTTTAGTTTCTACAAAGGTATCAATACTTTGTTTTAAACCTGGACACCCAGGATAATGACTTGGTACAGTGGTAGGTATACTGGTTCTGGAATCAGAGGTTCTGGGTCAAGTCCCACCTCTGATTCTCACTAAATGTGCAAGTTATTTAACCTCCTTCATCCTCAGCTTCCTCCCCTGTAAATTGAAGGGGTGGAGGTGAGTCAGATGGCCCTTGAAGGTCCTTTCCAGCTCTGAAGCTGTGACCTTATGACCTAAGTGTAGAGAGGTTTATCACCAGAACAGGTGGCTATTTTTTGTGCACAGCAATTTATAATAATTATAATAATAGCTAGCATTTATATAATGCTTTAAGGTTTGCAAAACATTTTTTCATAGGTTATTTCACTTGCTCCTTACAACAACCCCGGAGAGGTAGGCACCATTATTATCCCCATTTTATAGATAAGGAAACTGAGGCTGAGAGAGGTTAAGTGACTGTCCTAGGGTCATTTGGCTTCGTTTGAGTTGGCATTTGGCCTCATGAAAACTTTTACTAAATTTTAATTTGTTGTGGGCTTGCCTTGGTGGAAAGAATGCCCACAAGATTGACATGGTAATTAAAATGTATTTTTCTTCAGCAAAAGGTGAGGATTTTGGAGAATGTGTCAGCTCAGATGTGTCTGTGTGTTTGCTGGCGTTGTCCCCTTGCGTTTGACTCTGTTCCCGGGGGGCGGCAGCTTTGGGCTTTGCCTTCGCAGGTCCTTCACTTCTGGGACCCGCAGGGTCTGTGCACTGCAACCACAGGCAATGCGGAGGTAGACTGAATGGCAGGCAGCGCCCCAGGGCCTCCACTTAAGAGCCTCGCCTGGGAGGCCGAGGGAGGCGGGAAAAGCACCCAGTCTCTTTCGGTCTCACAATCCGAACCGGATCAGGCCGGGTCTTCTTTCTCTTATCTCTCAGCCCCGAAGAGCCCAGGGCGCTGGGGTCCGCCCCTTCCACCCCTTCAGTCCGGGAGCGTGGCCAAGTAAGGCCGCGGTGGGTGGGGCCAACACTGAAGAGACCCAATAAGGGACGTGAGTGGGCGGGACCTTGCGAGTCAGAGCTGCCAAAGGGGCGGGCCGAGGAGGGGGCGGTTTCCTAGGAAACGGGCTCCGGCTGGCTGGCTGCTATCTGGAGCTGGAGTTGGAGCCGGAGCCGGAGCCGGAGCCCGAGCCCGAGCCCGAGCCCGAGCCCGAGCCGGAGCCGGAGCAGGAGCCGGATCCCGGATCGTGGCCGTGACCCCAGGTGGGAGCAGCAATCGCAGCCGCCGCCCAAGATGTGGAGCGGCTCCAGCCGGCGGCGAGACCAGCGCCGGAAACTCAGCCTCCTGCTGCTGGCGGTCATAAGCTTCCTGCTGGTCCGCAGGTGAGAGCCGCTCCCCCCGGAAGCCCCCGGCCCGGGCTGGGGTCCGCCCTCTGCCTCGAGCGCGCCCGAGTCCCCTTCTCCAGTGCCTCCTCTCGCCCACCATGATGCCTCCCCTGGACCAGTCATCTCCAGCCTCCACGCGCATCCCCCACCCGTGCCGCAGCCGAGAGCCACTTGTCCCCCGGGATGCTTCTCTGCCTCTTGCAAGGACTCACTCTCGGACCCGTGCCCCACCTCCCAGTTTCGCTTTTTTCTCGGGGGAGGGAGGGTATCCCTATCATAAGATTCCCCCTCTCCCCACCCCACCCGCCCCCAACGCCCTCTCACCTTCTTTTTACCATTTCCTTGGGCGCCTTCCAGTCCCCGAGACCTCGGAGTGCTTCTCTCCCCTCCAGAGGGCCCCAGCCGGGCCGGAGGACAGGACCAGGCGTGGGACTTTGGCTCCGTAGCCAGGCCACAGGATAGCTCATTGCCCCCCCGGGATAAACTGACCCTCCCGGACCGTCCTAAAACGCCCCTCCTTCATTCTTTCCACTCCTCCATATCCTTCCCCACCATCCCACCCCCGTGAATAGTTACAGGTTGCATGGGGCTTAATGCAGGGGAGAGAATGCTGGGCTTAGTGAAGTCAGGAAGAGCTGAGTTCAAATCTAAGCCAAGACACTTGCTAGCTATGGTCTCACCCCAGACAACTCTTTCTCCGTCTGTCTGCCTCAGTTTCTTCATCTACAAAAAGGAGGATATTAGAATAAAATGAGATAATATTTATTGACTCCCAGGGGCAGAGTTCAAGTGGTTTACAGTGGGTGAAAGGGTTCGGGTTCCCCAGGTCCTGGATTTTTCTGAACAGCATATTTGTGTTAAATATGACCCTACAGCCTTTCTGTAAGGCAGATACCAGACATTTTCCATATGCAAAATGCTCACCTGCTTGGGGAAGCACTGAATTTTGGCACTGAAGGAGTTAATGTTAGGATGGAATAAGGAGAGAACTGACACCTAGGTGTTTGAATTGGCTCTGGAGCTTCAACCAGTATTCCCTAAGTCAGCTTCTTCCTCTATCGTGCCCCCATATATTTTATACGTTCTCCCACCAGTAGTGAAATGTTCAGTGGATACTAAATTTTTAGTGGTTTTTTTTTAGTCCATTTAACATTTCTTTCCACTCACGTGCACATATTATCAGCACAGTCTTTCTGGTGAAAGGTCGGCCCTCTCCTCTTCTCAGTTCCTGGGATAATGAGGATAACCTCAGTTTACTGCCTTGAGAAATGAATAGATACTCTTCCTGTCCCTCCCCTCACAAAGTAAGTAAACATTGGTGACTAGTTATTCCCTATTTCTTCGCCTCCTTTCTGGTTCCTCATCTTTGCTTTAATCTAATTCAGTAGGATGCATGCTCTTCAGGACTAGCATAAACCCCAGAAACTTTTATTTTTTTATTTAAAGCCAAGGCAGCAGGAGCCTTCAGTGAATAGCAGTGGGACCCAGTGACCTGGCGAAACGTCAGATGTGACCCTGGAGAAGAAAGCTGACGCATCTACAAACTGTGTACTTCCCCCACGTTGATTGAGAGTTGAGGGTGTTGGAGGCCCAGGGAAGGACCCAGGGAGAGGCCTCTTGGGGTGTGAAAGTGTTATTAGGGGACTTGCGGCTTCAGAAGAGCTTCACCTTCACCCCTTCCTTGTGGCTCAGAGGAGTGAAATCGAGGGAGAGAAGACTGAATTTGTTGATACCTAGGCAGGGTAGTGTGAGGAAAGATACATGATTGATGCTGTCTTTCTTTGGAAAGGTTATGCTGAATTGATTAGAGTCACTTCCCGAGCTGTTCTTTGCATGCTTACCCAATAGTGTGATTCTAGGGAAGACTCAGACATTTTCAGGGTAACCTGTACTTGTGTTCTTCCTGTGGAGGCTGGAGAATGATCAGGAGTGCCCTGAGCCCCTGGAAAGTGCCTTGTTTACTTTAGGGACTTTTGACTCTTTACCTTTTCTAAAAGGAGCAGGACTAGAGGGTTCCTTGTTCATCATCCCTCAGGACCCACCTGTTGGAATATTGCTGTTAGAGATCTCCTGTTCTTCTCTCCCTTGTGAACAGCCTCTTCCCCTCCCCCATCTCCAGAATTAAAAAAAAAAAAAGAAGAGGAAAAAAAGAGCTCAGGCTGGACTGATAATGAGCAAGTTACTCCACCTCCCACAAAGACTCCCTGAAAAGCCTCTCTTCCTTAGTTTTGTGGGGGTGGGAGCAGGGTGGGGGTGGAGGGGAGTCTCGAGTTCTCGTAGCAGCCTGATGAACTAGGCAGCCAAAACGCAGGGTCAGATGGAAGCTAGGATTCTGTGAAGCTGTACGTGCCGTAAGCTGTTTTCCATGGCCCAGGGGGACCCAGCGGAGCACAGTGGGGTGGTAGCAGAGGAAGCAAGCATTTTTCCACGAGCTGCCCCCAGGACAGATTCTGTCAGTTGGTCAGATCAATTAGTCGGTAAACATTTGTTAAGAGTTCACTATGTGCCAGGCACTGTGCGCTTTGCAGAAGGAGGAGCCTGCGATACAAAGAAAGGTATAAGGCAGTCCCTTTGACATTGGGTGAAACTGCGGATCCAGTCAGTCAATAAACATTTATTAAGTACTTATATATGTCGAGGTACTGTGGTAAGCTCTGGTGATACAAAGAAAGGCAAAAGATGATCCCTGCTCACAGTCTGATGGGGGGGGAAGGGGGGAGCCAACATGCAAATAAATACATGCAAACAAGCTATATACAGGATAGGTAGGAAATAATTAACAGAGGGAAGGCACTGGAATTAAGAGGGTTTGGGAAAGGCTTCCTCTAGAAGATGGGATTTTAGTTGGGACTTAAAGCCAGGAAGGGTTGGGGTGTCCCAGGTACAGGGACAGCCAAAGAAAATGCCCAGAGCCAAGACATGAAGAGTCTTGTTGATGAAACAGCTGGGAAGCCAGTGTCACTGGATTGATGAGTACGTGTTGGGGAGTAAAGTGTAACATCACTGGTAAGGTAGGAAGGAGTACATTGTGAAGGGCTTTGAACTCCAAATGGAGGATTTTATATTGGATCCTGGAGGCGATAAGGAACCGCTGGAGTGTACGGAATAGAGGAGTTACATGGTCAGATCTGTGCTGTAGGAAGCTCTCTGATGGCTCATCATTTGTCACTTGGATGTGGCAGTTACTTGGTGAAGGAACCTTCTAGGACCAAAATGACTTTTGGTACAGGATCTGAACCTGTGGCTTCAGAGGTAGAAGGATTTACAACTCAGAGCTTAATAGTATAAGCCAATTCCACCTTCCTTCACCCCCTCCATGCATCACAGGAATGTCTGTTTGATACAATCAGTCTCGTTTGCTTTTTTTCTTCAATCTGAATTCATCTCAGATCTGATATGCGTCTCTTCCAGAGAAGGGGTAGAACTTAGAGGGAGCAGCCCACATTCATGCCCCATAAAATAGGACTGAACTTCCTCCAGGGAATCTTACCTTCCCTGTAGCACATTCCCAGTTCTTGCTCTGGTGCCCTCTGGCTTTCTAGATCCCAAGGTCCACCGGTAGGAAAGGAAAGGTTCGAATAGTAGGCACTCACATACTTGTTGAATGCCTGAATCAGTTGGGTGTGGTGGTAGAGGAGATGTAAATCAAAGCTGAGAACTATACAGGTTTACAGAGAAGTGGTGGGAGGTAAGGAAGAAGGCATGATTTTTCAGAAGCTCATAAAATTATACGATGCCAGTAAAACCCAGGAGGGGCTTATTAAATTTTCTCAAATTGAGAAACTGGTTTTCTATTGTTATAAATCAGAGACCCCTTCAGAGGGGGAGGAGGAATAACAATTAGAGTGACTTGTCCTGTCTTTGTTTACCAGACAGGTACCTGGAAAAACATCTACCAGGCTGAGTAGGGAACCTATTATATGCCTTGAGGGAGGGGGCCAGGGGTATAGCTTCTAAAGTCCACAGCTTAGCTGGAGAATTGTACTTCTCAGACTCTTTTTAGGGATGAGAATAATAGCCTGTTTGGAAAGAAAAGTGAACTCACTAAGTATCTTTAAGTTTCCTTCTTTAGATCTAAATCCTATGATTCTATAAATTTTCGACTGAGGTACAAAGGGCTGTAGTGGATAGTGTGCTGGCATCAGGGAGAAATGAGTTCAAATGTGGCCACAGATACTTACTAGCTTTGTGACTTTGGGCAAGTCATTTAGTCTCTTTTTGTCTCAGTTTCCTCAACTGTAAAATGGGTATAATAACAGCACCTACTTCCCATGGTTGTTGGGAGGATTAAATGTTCATCAATTAAATATTAAATTAAATATTTATACAATGCTGAGCACAGTGCCTGGCACAGCGTGTGTGCTATATGCTGTACCAACCTGCTTGAAGTTCCCTGATGCCAAGTTAAGGGCCCTGTCAGATCTGAGCCACATGGAATAAAATTGCCCTGGGCATTAGCTCTTTGGAAGAGGGAAAGTAATAACCTATTTGTGTGGTTTGAAAGGGGGACACTCTAGAGAGGCTTTTGGGCAGTTGTCCCACTGACCCTCTGAGGAAGCCAGAGAATACTCCTGAGTATGCTGCAGGGTACAGAGGCTTTGTCGACAGTGATAGGGGTTGTTTGCTTGGTAGCCAACTTCTGGACCAACTGAGCCAGAACTTTATTGGAATATGTATGTGGTCTTGGAATCGGGAGATTTGAGTTTGTTCCAGTCCGAATGCTTACTAACTGTATGACCTTGGACAAGTCACCAGATTTCTCTCTGACCTCATTCCCTTCATCCGCAAAAAGTGGATAATAGTACACATTCCACCTCTTCTGCAGGGTGGTTGTGGGGAAACTACTTTCTAAAGAAGGTGCTTTGTAAACCTTAGAGTGCTATTAAAGTGTGAGTTACTGTGCATAATCAGAAAGTGGTATTTCGCATTAGATACATTCTCATTCTTTGTTCTCATTTGCCCTATATCCTCATTACCTCTTAGATCAGGGGTCTTAA